GCATCAGCCTCAAAGGCAGCCCCATGTAGAGCGTGTTACAGTGGTCTAATCTTGAGATTACGAGCGCATGTACCAAGGTAGTGAGCGCCCCCATGTCAAGGTAGAGTTGCAGCCGGGCAATCCGCCAAAGGTGGAAAAAGGCGGTGCGAACTACTGACGCCACCTGGGTTTCCATGGTGAGCGTTGGGTCCAGGTCTACCCCCAGGCTACAAACCCCACTCTTAGCAGCCAGGGTCACCCCTCAAATGTGAGAGAGCCAGCCAGGCCACCAACCCCAAGGGCATCCACCCTCAGAACTTCTATCTTGTCCGGGTTCAGCCGCAGCCCATGTTCCTGCATCCATTGCAGTACAGCTCCCAGGCAGCGCTGGAAGGACAGGATGGCATCACCTGCAGTTGATGAAAAGGAGATGTAGAGCTGGGTGTCATCAGCATACTGATGACACAAGGCTCCACACCCCCTGATGACCCCACCCAGCGGTCTCATATAGATGTTAAACAGCATTGGGGAGATAATCGACCCCCGTGGGACCCCACAATTGAGATTCCACGGGGCTGAGACATTCTCCCCAAGCTGTACTCTCTGGGGTCGGTCCTCCAGGAAGGAACGGAGCCAGGCTAACACCAAGCCACCAATTCCCAACTCGGAGAGCCTCCCCAGGAGGATACCGTGGTCAACGAGAGAACCAACAGAGACATTTTGCCCCGTCAGCCTCCCTCAACAGGTCATTGTATAGGGCGACCAATGCCGTCTCTGTGCTGTGGCGTGGCCTGATTAGTGCTAGGATTCATCAGTTAGCTTATTTCTAATCATTTGTCCATGCCAAACACCAGAGAGAGAGAGATTTGATTTTGTTTCACTGTGTATGTGCAGGTTGTAACAGGCTTTTTTCTTGTCTACTCTTTTGTTACCTTTGTGCACTTTAAGCCTTTTTGTTATGTTACTTTTATAGAAAACGTGCATGTGGATATCCCATGAACTCTTTCTTTTTTAGGTTGAAGTCTGTTGTTCAGGATGTTGCTAGAAATTATAGAGACCACTTTCATAGGTATGTGGCTGTAATAATAGAATTTCCAGGCTTTTATTCTTAAATAAAATTTAATTTCTTACTGAGGTTAATAAATGTCACAAATTCTACTACTTTTGATTGCCACAAATTAATAATATAATTGTGGCCTAGTGGATAATAAATCTTTACTGTAAAAAAAATATCTTCTGAATTTAGTATAAAAAAAGAGCAAATGTTACAAGAGGATAGGAGCCAACATTGTCAGCTGGACTGGTACCAGAATAGGGTCATAGAGGAAAAAGAGATTTATCAAGATGATTAGAAATATTAACAATAAAGCAGAATCTTTATATTTTAGATCAGGTTATGAATTCATCCTCCTTATATCAGTGAAGACCAGGACTATTGAACAGGGCTGTGAGGTGTTGGTTTTGGAAGGAAAATCTGAAGTGGAGAGAATGGTATTTATAGTTTACACTAAATGTATTTGCAGCTTCTGAACCAGATATCAAGATGTTTAGATAGTCTACAATGCTTTCAGCACTTCAACATAAATATTTGAATCACTAGAGACATTTGGTAATACAAGGGGATAGTTGATTTTCATCTTCCTTCTTCAGCTCCTTCAGTCACTTGAAAAATCTGTTCCGGAAGTTTAGTATGGGAAGAAGAATCGAAATTGCTTCCTCTTCTGTTAAAGGAGGGTTGTGCTAGTTCCATTTTGGAAGGACAGTCTGACATGCAACATATTACCATGATAATTAAATTATATTTAATTGCCAGTTTCTTGTGTTTTAACAGGAACTTTCAATTTGGCCATATGGATGGAAATGATTATATTAATAGCTTACTTATGGAGTAAGTACATGAATTTGTTGAATTTCAAGCTGTTATGTATAGTATATAATGCCTGTTTATATATGTAATTCCTGTTTCAAAACTATTCTTCAGTCTGCATAAATTGATATGCAAGTAGTTATAGAAATGTGGTATGTATCTATGTGTGTGTTAAACACAAATACTGTACTTGTGTTTACCATCTTTCAGAGTGGTATTTGTTCCTTTTTAATATTTGCATACATGTTGTTTTAGCTTTAATCTTTTCTTTTAATGATGTAAGCTGCCTTTCGTTCATTTTAAGGAGAAAGGCAGAGTAATATTATTTTAATAAAATGAAGTAAAAAATGATCAAAACTTAGATTGGTCTTGCACAGTGCTGCATATTGTGATGGAGTTCACAAGAAAGGATGCTATGTGTTTTATGATGATTCAAGTTACATTCTAACACATGTTTATGGTTTGTATGGTATCATTGGGTTTATGTACGTTCTTGTTTTCCAAATGCTTTTGTTTTTTATATAAGTCTTTTCACACAAAACACCTTTTGCCTTTTACAATGAAGCTGGGTTTTTAAGCAAAATGTTTAAAGTGTGTACATCATTTCCCCACCAGATGGCAGCCCATGATAATCAATTAAAGGAGTGTCTACAATAGGTGAAGAAAATCAACCTGGCATTCATTTGTATTGTAAAAAATAAAAACTGTATAGCATCAGTGCTGCAAATATATTGGTATCTCACAATTGTTTGTACATGCCTCAGTGAACTTGGATTGATATCTCTTAGAAGGGACTCAGGGAGACAACGCCCGATCATATTCTCTTTTTAACTCCCTAAACAGAGAAATAAGGTTTTAACAGAGGATAATTAGTTACACCATGGCATAAGGATTGGAACTTTATATAGGCAATAGCCTGATGAGCCTCATTCTCCTTGTCTTGGCTTTACCTGGAAAAATAACAGTAGCATGAGAAGAAACATGTCAGTGATTCTAAGCATGTGCTCTGTGTGTGTCACCACATGGTTGATGGAAGATACTCCTTACCATTGCATCAGACTGTATTTTATACACTGTAAATTGAAGAGTCTTCAGTTTCGCTGATGTTGATGAGTATTAGTATTAATATGATCCAAATCCTACAGTTACTTCCTCAACATTCTGTGAAGAGGTATCAAGATGTGTATAATTCCTAGATGTCTTGTAGATGAGCCAAACGCTGGTTGAATGTTTAAAGATGTTTGAATTGTTCCATTTTACCATTTCAGTGATGTGAAAATTCCCAGTGTTGTTGTGTTGAACACATCCAATCAACAGTATTTTCTACCCCATAAACCTATAGAAAGCACTGAAGATATGGTACAATTCATCAATGAAATCTTGGAAGGCACTGCAGAAGTAAGGATTTTTGCTATTCACTCTCTTAACAGCTTGTTGAATTAATGTCTTTTTGAAAGCTAATCTAAGAATTCGTTTGATATTATACTTTGTAAGTAGATGGGGGCATTTTTATTTGTACACGAATATGAATATCGCCGCACAGGTGCCATTAATGAGGGTCTAGCCCCATGGGGCCAGACGGTCTATTCACCTATCCGCTGTGAACACAGATGGCGCGATTCTACGAATGGCTCCGCAGTGCGTGATCTGCTCGCTACTCTTGGCAGGAGACAGGAGGACAAGCCTCGCTGCAAGGTCGAAGAGTGGCAAGCAGATTGTGCGCTGTGGAGCCATTGGTAGAATCGTGCTGTCCGCATCTGGGGCATATCCGTGAGTGGACCATCCGGCCCCATGGGGCTGGACCCTTTGAATTTTTATTCAGATATGAGTACCCCCATCTCTATTTGTAAGGTATTCCAAATGTGTTTTAAAATTACTTGAAAGGCAAATTCTAAAAATAATTAACCATTTCACTGTTCACTGTATGTCAGATTAGTTAACTACACTATATTCTGCTATTTCAGCATTTTGGTAGAGTAAGAGAAATAGTTTACTGCAATTATCGTACAGTTTGAAGAAGTGAAGAAAAGAGCAGGAGAAATCTTGGCCAAGAAGGATGTTTGGGCAAATGCCAGCTAATTGGATACATGAGAGTTAGATTATAATCACCACTATTTTTTATTTTTATTATTATGTAGTATGTGATAGTAAGGGTAAAAAACTGTTTCACACTCAGTCAGGGTGTTGGTCCATCTAGCCTGGTAAGGTCATCTCTGATTGGCAATGGTTCTCTGTTGCTTTGCCTCAGGATTTTTGCTTAAACATATTCTTTCTTCTTTAGTGCTTTTCTGTCCGATTGCTAACCAGTCGCAACCTTGCTTAGCTTCTGAAATCAGATCTCATCAGGATTGTATTTTTTAAAAAAACACACAGTTTAGTCTAGTTAGATTTCTGGCATGAGTTAATATAAAGCCAACTTTTAATGTTCCTCTTTCAGGGTGAGCTTTAGAGGTCAGTGCTGATCACAACTATTTCTTAACTGTTGTAATACAGTATCCTTAGCACTTGAGTCTATGTAACATAAGAAACACAGGAAGCCGCTTTATGCTGCGTCACACAATTCTCAGGAAAGACAGTCACCATGAAAATTTGTGGCAGCACAAACTTCCTATGTGAAGTAATTTTGTAGTTGGGTTAGGAATGTGTTCTTTGGGAGCAAATGAATACATGGTTCTTAACTGTGCTGACATAAATATGACATACAGCTCTCCATTTTTAGAAAGTGATTTTTTTCTTCATTAAAAATGTACTTTGAAAGGAAAATAGCCATAAATCTACACAATGAAAAGAAGCAAATAAAAGCTGACATATAAGTACATAGTATTGACACTGTTTTTGCCTTACAAATTCCAGGCACAGGGTGGAAATGGAATTCTTCAGCGAATCAAGAGAATAATATATGATGCCAAGTCTACTGTGGGAGTAAGTAAAGGCCCATGTACAGCTAGGTAGTCTCCATGCCCATCAAATTTATGTGTAGTTGTTCACCAAGCATTCAGGTCAACCCATCGTTTTTGTTTTAGAACATGACTCTAGTTGTTGGAGCCATTTTGAAAATGCTCAATATATAGGACAGTGGTTCTCAGTCTTGAGTGCCCAGATGTTCTTGGACTTCAACTTGCAGAAGCCCTTGCCAGGACAGCTAGTGGTGAGGTCTTCTGGGAGTTGCAGTCCAAGAATGTCTGGGAACCCAAGGTTGGAAACCACTGATAAAGGATGTGACATCAGAATTAGTGGGTGCTGTATCAGCAGTATTGAGTAGCTGGTAACTCTGTCCTCAGTCTAGCAGTACTATGGTGTAGATGGTTGCCCTGAAACTGTGACTGATTATAGACCCATATTTCCAGTAATGTTAGGAATTGTGGAGATTCTCAAGGTTCTGGCAATCCATAGTACTACTGATGTTTTAGCTGGGTGGAGAAAACATTCTCTCAAAACAATAGAATCCAGCAGCATCCTTTAAACTAATCGAATTGTTATACCATGTGCTTTCATGGATGTTGTCCAGTTTGTCAGACATAGTAATAACTGCCTTAAAGGACCCACATAATTCTTTATTGTTTTATTTTGGCTGTCCTTGTGGCATTTGCCCAGAGGTCCGTGGGTGCATCTCCATTCCCACATGGGCCTTTAAAAAAAGTCACCACTGATTTTTCTTTCTTTCTGAGCAACAGTAGCTCTATGCAGGTATTTTTATGTTCATGTCTAGGACTAAATTGGAAGCGGGTATGTGGGAACACATGTAAGCCATACATACTAACAGCTTAATGTGATTTCAGAATATCTGTGATTGTGAACACTAACAAAGCGGGTTTCTTATTGATCCCAGTGAAATTGAAGGCTCAAATCCTGTTTCATAGTTACACTGATGGAACAGAAATAGTGTAACTCACAGCAGCAAATTGCCATCAATTAACAAGTTCTCAAGGGACGTGGTGGCGCTGCGGGCTAAACCGCAGAAGCCTGTGCTGCAGGGTCAGAAAACCAGCAGTCATAAGATCGAATCCACGCGACGGAGTGGGGTCCCGTCACTTTGTCCCAGCTCCCACCAACCTAGCGGTTCGAAAGCATACAAATGCAAGTAGATAAATAGACCCCACCTTGGTGGGAAGGTAACAGCGTTCCGTGTCTAAGTTGCACTGGCCATGTGACCACGGAAGATTGTCTTCGGACAAAACGCTGGCTCTATGGCTTGGAAACGGGGATGAGCACCGCCCCCTAGAGTCGAACACGACTGGACAAAAATTGTCAAGGGGAACTTTTACCTTTACCTAACAAGTTCTCACTTGGATTCCTGCTTGAGCACCAAGTTTCCTGACTGGCATACTGTGAGGAAGCCATGCTGGGCCTCATTCTTTAGCAGTGATCAGCTGTTATGAGTTATGCTATTTCCCTTCCACTGAAGTAACTGTGCAGGATTTTGGCCTAGAGTCTTACATAGACTTTAATGCTGAATACACAAGGTCTAGGATGCTCGTAGGCTCACACCAGCATTCAGAGCTGGAGTTTGTGTGCATGCCAATGTCTCCAGTTTAGCCATGCTTGCAAGCAAACAAATGTCTGCATAGTAAGAAACAGCTATTGAGATTATTTGCATACAGTTATTCCTGTGCATGTTCAGTTTTTTGTTGTGGGGAGAGAGACTATGTCTATATGCAGAACTTTGGCCTGAGATTTTAAAAATGATAATGCTGGCATTAATGATTTGCTGTTAACTTGCTGACTCCTTTAGCCCAACTATCATCTGTGATTTCTCAGTTGTGCCGTAAACACTTTTGTGGGATACTTAGAGATTATCTTGATAAGTTTCTCTGGCTTTGATATACAACTTTCTAGTGAAGTAATTTGATCAGTGTTTACAAATGTGGATTTTTAAAACATCTTTGAAATATATATAGTTGAATATTTAAATGTTAACTATGATTTTGTATGCTCTAAATCAACCATTCTCAATGAGGGGCTTATGGCTGCAGAGTTCTGGCTCATTTGAAGGGGGCCACATTCTTCAAACGCCACTTTACAGTGTTCATTGTGCAATTTATACAATCCAGATCTGGCTTATATTTCTTTCATATTGCATTTATGTCCATGGCCAAAAAAGGTCTTAATATATAGTATAAGAAAGGAACTTCCTCAAGATATTTTAGATGTTGTGGAAATATCACTAATGGCCAATTGTTTCTCCACAGTCTGTTTTCAAGAGTTCCCCGCTTTTGGGTTGCTTTCTCTTTGGTCTACCACTGGGTGTCATCAGCATCATGTGTTATGGAATTTGTACTGCTGACACTGAGGGAGGGTCAGATGAAACAGAGGCATCTAAGAAGGAAACTACAGGCAGAGATCTGACTGATGAAGGCACTGAAGAAGAACAAGAGGAGGAAAATGATGAAAAACCTGTAGAAATACCAGATGGAGAGGAGGAACCGAAAAATATATTAGAAAAGAAAAAAGATTAAATTGTTTTACTGAATGTTTTTTTCCTTCTGTAGAATTTCAAAATAGAGACTTATTTATTGAATTCAGTTACTTATCTACCTGTGGTCTTCAAAAATGAGGATATTTTTGTTTTATGTGCATGCATACATATTCCTTGGCTTTGAAGAGGTATGGGTGGAAGTCTGGATTTTTAGGTCTCTTACTATTTTTATCCTGCTGAAAAGAAATCAGATTACAGAATGTACATAGATTATTTAACATGGATGCACACTGTGGTTGGATTTTTAAACAGTGATATTTGTTGTGTTCTAACTTCTGACCCTTGTGGTAAAAGACAATTCTACCAGCATGGCCAAAGTAGATCAGGCTATTCTATAAAATATACAGGAAAGCAGGGATGTTCTCAGCCTGGGGTGAAGTATATAAATATTGCTGAACTTTAGAAAGATGTAATAGGAAACATTTCTTTGATATACAGTGGTGCCTCGCTAGACAGTTACCCCGCACGACAGTTTTTTTCACTAGACATTGACTTTTTGTGATCACTATAGCGATTCGCAAAACAGTGATTCCTATGGGGGAATTTCACTGGACAATATTTGGTCCCTGCTTCGCAAACTGATTTTCGCTAGATAACGATTTTGACAGCTCCCTCCGTGCTCGCAAAACGGGTGTTTTCGGGACCTAAGCTTTGCAAGACAGCTATTTAACCAGCTGATCGGCAGTTCACAAAGTGGCTTTCCTATGGCTGATCTTCACTAGACAATGATGATTCTTCCCCATTGGAATGCATTAAATAGGTTTCAATGCATTCCAATAGGGAAATGCTTTTCAGTAGACAATGATTTCGCTAAACAGCGATTTCAGTGGAACAGATTAATATTGTCTAGCAAGGCACCACTGTATACATAAATGTATATCGTGACCATTGTTTCTGAAGAACAATAATTTTTTATTTTTGTTTTGAAAGGAAAAACATTCTAAATTTTCCATTATAGACATCTCACATCAGAATTAAAAGTGAATGCTGCATTCCCCTAGAATTGCATTTAAAATACAGGATTATTGAATTTAAAAGTGCTGTGTGTTTACTTGATATTTCTGAGTATTTAGTAATGTGTTATTTCGGACCAATGTGCATAATTAAAAATTCACTTCTATATTTAAGAGACTAGAAAGATATATTTCTTCCAGAGGAAATTTTCCCAGGTTTTGACTACTTAAAAAATTTCAGGGCTGCATTTTTTCATTGCATCAATGGATTTTATTTTATTTTATTGGTATTTAACTGCATAATTTTAGGACAAGCCTTTCTCAATATGCCAAAATATTTTTCAAGTGGGTTAAATCTTGCTAAAACCTTGATTTCTGCAAATACTTAATTTAAAACATTTTTCTTGGTATGTTAGTACTGGTACTTATATTTGACATCTCTGTTGACTACATGTTGACTGAGAAGGGGAAACTAATTATCTGTAGCATTGTTAACATTTATAGAAAAGGGAGTATTTGTTGGTATAATCCATTTTCATTAGCTCTTTAATCATACAAGTCATCTTTAATACCACCCCATGACATTGAAAGGGACTAAGCTGTCTCCCGAGTTGAGATCTCAAGAGATAAGTCATAAGATGGTGTTTGGAGTACTGATACCATGGTGATTACCATAGCAACCAAGCCTATGCTGCTCATTTTCAGGACTCAGGCTATGTCACATTCAGTTAAAAAATAGAAAAATGTTTTTAAGCTTGTGGATCATAGTAAAACAGCTAGGTATAATAAGTGTACATTTGTGCATTCTTGGACTATTCAATTAAACACTAAGCTTGAATAAAAAAAGTTTGAGGAATCAATTAAAATGAAGTAATTTTTCTGCTGTATAGGAATATTTCATTTTTTGTAGAGGAAGAAAATGACTCTAAAGCAAGGTACCTTTGTTACACAATCCAAGCAAAATAGTTCTTCAACATAATATTTTCACATATTGTGTAAAGTTTACTGATTTTTTTAAAAAAAATATATGCATCAGATAATCAAGAAATGTCATGAGAAATGTCAAGTGTCTAGTACTTTTATTGGCAATAACTCTATCCAAAGAATAAATTGTGTTGTTTCATGTATAGAAACCATTAAAATGTAAGCCAAACCATGAATATTGAGATTCTGTTATAAGCTGTTTTGTTTCCATAGCTAAATTCTGTTCATATTCAATCATGTTCCCTTCCCCCAAAATAGTTGGCTTTTTCTTATTGCAAACGTGTTGCCAAACACTGGGATCTATGAAATCAGCATGCGCTGCCTGGAACCTGGATTTTGTAATAGGACAATGAGGTCCCCCAAATTATGCTGGAATAGCAAGTCTTTTTTTAAAAAAGTGTTTTATAAGACCATTTTAAAAGAATGCTAGTGCAAGCAAATGGAGTTCAATTTATTTTGGATACCTTCTTAATTTTGTTTTAATTATATCTATATTCCATTAGGTATAAAATAGCAGCAAAATGCTGTGGAGTTGCTTTTCTAGTGCTGGGTCTGAATGTGTGCGCTTTCCCAAAGAAAACATTGTGCTACATCTGTATCTACTATGTAATATTAAACAGATTTTAAGTAGTTCAGACAGAATACTGAAAATAGATATATCTTCACCACTCGGCTTATGAAACATTGAACTCCCTGATGTTTACCAAAGTGAAATGTGCTGCCATTTCATCCCAACTTCGTAACAGTGCAGTTCAGCCAGGATGAGGAGTTAGTGGTATAAAACAAAATTACTATTTTTGATCATGTTCACACAGAATAGTCTCTATTTTAACTTGAATTGGAAGTGCTCTAATATTTTAAAGTTTATTTAAAGTTGTTGGATTTATCAAATGTAAATGTGTTTTCTACAGCAATAAAACATTCAAAAAGATGTGTTTTTATTCTTTTATGCTGCATTTGTATATGGTCTGACATAAAACAGAATGTATAAATAATCCTGTTGGATAGGGCCAAGGACCCATTTGGTCCCAAATCATATTTCCCTTTGTAGCCATTCAGATCCTCTTAGTATCCCACAAACAGGACATCAGCCTTTGTCTGCTATTTTCCGAGAACTGTTATTGAGAGATATGCTGCTGTTTTATGCAGTATATGGCCATCCTCATTTGGTCTGGGAATTTTTTTCCTAGCCACTTTAAATCTCTTTGCTCTCAATCATGCCTTCACTCTGAATCTCTGCACCATTGCTAGACTGATTACTCACCTTAGGGACACACACATGATACCAGCATTACAGTTCCAGAATATCTTCATATGGTTCCATCATGAGCTGATCAGCATTGGCAACTATTGCATGACTACCAATTCAATCATAACTACATTTCCTGAGAGTATGTTCACCCTACTTACTGAAGCAGCTTGTCAATGAACCTGACATTTGTATGACTGCACTTAGTTTCGTATCCATTAGACAATGTTCCTGAAAAACTGAATATCGTTCACTGAAATTGCCAATATAAAAAAAGACCTTTTGCTGGAATTTGTAGCTCTCCATCTGTATTCCAAATCTGCATAATATCATACTGAGGTATGGTGTGATACTACATGTTATAGTACCTGAGTTGCTGGGTATTGTACTGTTTTCATTACCAGTGCTGCTTCCACTAGTTCCATGCTTCACTTACAATTTCATCAGCACTTCCAGTTTAAACAGTTCTGATCAGTAGTCATTTTGATACGCATGTGAATATCTACAGTGACCTTTTATATCCTCTGTGCAGGCTCTTCTGCTGGTTCCTTCTGTTGCTGCAGAATTATTCTCCTTTGACGCCATGTATTCAGCCAGTGCACTCTGATACTCCTGCTTCAGCAGAACTGTCACAGTTTGATCCGGTTATGATATGACCAACTACAATAAAGCAAAAGCAAAGTGTGCTGTTTATACCTCCCCATAGCCCTTAAAGCACTCTCGGGGGGGGGGGTTGCAAGTTAATGATGCAGGCTACACATTGCCCCCCCCCCCAGCAAGTTGGGTACAATAGCCATACTTCAGTCATTTTAGGCTTGATTTGGTCTAGAACCCACTTCCTCCAATGCCACATTTTTAATAGGACAATATTCTTTTCAGCTTTCTTGTCCAACCTTCACATCCATAATCAGAAATATTATAGTATGGATGATCTTGGCCTTGGTTTCCAGCAGCCCATCCTTATACACTAAGAATTGTTTCTAGTTCCTTCATTGCTGCCCTTCCAGGCCCAAGAAATCATACAGATTAATTATATGAAGTAGAAGTGCCTGTTTTATACATGATGTAGGTTACAAACATATATTCAAGAGCTGATTCATGCAACATTTATGTCCACTGTGTGATTTTATAAGCTGGGATATACTCAGCATTGTAATAATATAATATGAAAATGCTTGCCACTTATAACAATACACAACATGTTAAAATGTATGAAACCAGATCAGGAGTATCTGAGTGTGCAATTCTCTTTTAATATAAAAAGTAGTCAGCTGTAATTTCTGTAAATGTGAGAGGTATAAAAAGACGTAATACTTTTATTTGCTTTATTTAAAATATTTAAAGGACCCAAGGTGGCTTACATCACTAAAATGCAACATTAAAGCTAAAAACTGTGAATTATACAAATATTAAATGAATTAATAACATATTAAGAGTGTTAGGTGAAGCATTTCTAAAACAGATTTAGACTCAACAAAGCAAACCATTTCGTTTCAAAACCTCTCCTAGACCAGTGGTCCTCAACCTTGGGCCTCCAGGTGTTCTTGGACTACAACTCCCAGAAGCCTATTTCAAAACCTCTCCTAGACAGTGTCACTAAGGAAGACGCCATCGGAAAAGAAATGTCTTCCCCTACTTGCAGGCCAAGATAGCCTATTGGACAAAATCTTGTTGGGGGAAGCAAATCTGGTGGCACAGCGGTTATCACATGTCTTGATACATGGGAATATTTAACTGTAAGACCATCTTTGGTGGAGTAAACAAGAAAATAAGCTGTATTCCTCTCATCTGATGTAATTCTGTTTTTATAAAGACCCTCGGTGTCAGGTAGAACATCATTGATATGATACAACCTGTAACACTATTAGACCTTGGACAATGTTTGCTTTTTTCTTTGATTTACTTGCAGTACCTCCATGTTGCTGCCTAGTTAATACAGTGGGGTCTTGACTTGAGAACTTAATCCGTATTGGAAGGCGGTTCTCAAGACAAAAAGTTCTCAGGTCAAATCTGCATTTCCGATAGGAATGCATTGAAAACCATTTGATCCGTATCTGCTCTTCCGTCCATAGAAACTAATGGGAAGCTGCTATTCTGCCTTCGACCACTAGAGGGGGGTATTTTGTTTCTCTTTTTCTTAGGACAAGAAAGGTTCAGGGAAGGCAGGGAAAATACAGTCCAGGCAGTACCGTACCAGGCAGTCCGAAGACTGTCTCCCAATCCACTCTCTAAACGCTGGGAGGAGTAAAGAAGCAGACAGGCGCCCTTTTCACTGGCCAACAGTTAACTGAAAGTTCACATTTTGCACTTT